TGTATAAAGTGTACTTGAATCATATTTTAAAACAACATGTCTGAAGTATGGTTTTTGAAAATACGTTTTTACACTTTGAATATAATCCGTAAAAGTACATTCTATTGATAATATATTAAAAATATATATCTGTAAAATGCAGTTATATTTAAAATATACTTTAGTATATATTTTTTTCGCCTGGGATGTCACAGGCACTTTAAAAGAGAAAAAGTTAGAGTAGGACAACTTATCTTAGGTAACGCACAATCACATGCAGTATTGTGAGATGCCAGGATGTTATGCAAATGTTATCATAAAAGCTGTTATGTTGTCATTTAGAATTATCTCAATCTCCAAGATGAAGTTCAATCCTGGTCCTCACGGATTGCTATCTTGCATGTTTTAATTGTTTCCCTGCTCCAACACACCTGATTCAATTACCTCGTCATGTTCTGCAGAAACCTGTTAATCAAATCAGGTGTGCTGAGCTAGAGAAACCTCTAAAATATGCAGGATAGCGGCCCTCTAAGACCAGGTTTTGACACCCCTGCTTTAGGCAAGTTCAAGTTTCTAATAAGCTTTAAATTTTTATTTCACATTATTTATTGTAGTTAGGGCCTGTTTTATACGTACAACATAACAACCCAATGTAGATAGGTTTATTTATTTATTGTTACGCCTCCAAATTTACATCTCTGTGGCGCACASACCATTAATTCAACAGGGCTGTGTTTATATTCTGTCATATTGTTGCCACCGGGCCTGAAGCTGCACAGTCAGCCCATTAGGTTAAAATTTAGCAGCACTTGTCGAGAAAATAACAAAGAGTGGCAGATTGAGTCCAAACTTATTGCAGCCCTCTAGATATCATAACACCGTTGGACATAAAGTTGCTGGAACTCATTACGAACAGGCCTCTTTTCCTCACTGCTGCTCAGAAACAAATGAGTACTGACAGAGCTGCTCCCTGAAAATGAACGCTGAAAGTATCCAACTTATTTTTTAATTTTACACATCTAGAATATTGTGCAAATAAAATTTTGAGGCAGTACCTTAAAAACGGACAACTGAGGCTCTTCAGTTCACTTATTGTGTGTACCAAGCATGYGCAAAAAATAAATAAATAAAATTGCATTTAACTTTTAACACCTGATAATAACTTGACAACATTCTTAGGTTTTATAAGAAAACTGTATTTATTATAAAAAAATCAAATGTGATTTTAAAAAAACAAAAACCTTAAACTACAACATTTAAAATCCCATGATAACTGTTTACAACATGAACAAAAGCAGATAGCTGATAGGCTAAAAGCAATCTGTATTAAATTATACTGTTGCATTTATTGCTTCTTTGATTTAAGACAAAACTAGTTCAGATTTTTTAAGTATGGTTCACAGGAAAGATAAGATATAAACAGTTAATATCTTACCTGATGTAGATAGCGAAACCTTTACCACAAAACCCCACTAAAAAGTATATAAACTATCCTTTTGAAACATCTTAGCAGTATTAACACACTGTAAAATGTGATGAAGTCAGTTTCATTCAGGAGCATGACTACTTCCTGTCCTGCAGGGAGTTTAAGCTCAACTTCACCACTGGGGGTGGGGGGGTAAGAG